CAGGGAGATAGTGAGCGAATGAATGAGTGAGTGAATAAGTGAATCAATGACTGAATGAACAAACGATCAAGCGATTTGACGGACGCATGAATAAACTAAATCAAATGAGTGTCTGAATCAGTGAGCACATAAGTGATTAAATAAATAAATAAATTTTTGAACGTGTGATGGAGGGTAGGAGATAAGTGACTAATTAGTGCATGACTGTGTAAAGGAGAGAAGACAGCATCGCTGATAAAAAAATGAAGGGAGGAATTAATAAAAAAACTAAACTAATTTAGGCAGGTAAAACGAATGGCAGATGGGATGAAGGAACCAGGGACCAAATCAACAGCCATATGAGTGAAACAACCGGTAAATAAATTAACAATCGAACGACTGAACTAACGAAAGAGTTAGCGAATAACTGAATGAATGATTGATCAAATGAATGAACAAATAGAATGATTGATCAAATGAATGAACAAATAAAATGAGTGATCGAGGAAGCGAGGGGATAACTGAATAGTAGAGTGAAAGAATACAAGTTTGCTTGAATAGGAAACATTAATGGTATCATTCGTTTTTCTCTTACAAAAGGTGCATTGGTGATCTCTAAAAGAGAGACGCTGGTGGTAAGTGTGGAAATAAGGCACATGAAAAAAAAACGGTGGACATCTGCTCAATGACCGGTAAGTGCTTCGATTTTTCGAAGGACATCGGTGGACATCTGCTCAATGGCCGGTAAGTGAGAACATCTGCTCAATGACCAATGCTTTTTCGGTGGACATCTGCTCAATGACCGGTAAGTGCTTCGATTTTGATTTTAGCCCAAAAATATGAACTTGAGTGCTTTCTCAGCGACTGCTATATCAGAATGACTCTAGTGGTACTACTGCTACTGATAGCGATTAATTTTATATTGTTGCCGCCAACATATTAGTTTTGCACGAGAATAACTTTCTGCTTACTTACAGGCAATCAGTAGAAGACCGAGAGTGTCTACTAAATGAAATCAATGGTCTAAAAGGCGAACTGTCGAAACAGATTGACTTGACCAAGTGGTACAAAAACGAGGGTGAACATTTTAAGCATGTTATGGCGGAAATGAGAGGAAAGATAACGGATATGGAGCAGCAGATATATTACTTGAATGCAAAGCTGTGCGAATGTTCCAAACCGGCGATGTCGGCTGATTTTGGAACTCCGTGAGTTACTATGTTTTTTTATTGACATACCTGCTACATTATCATACCTGCTGTGTTTAGTGGTAGCAGTGACATGCAGGACCGAGTTTATCAGCTGGAATGTGAAAAAACCGAAATGCGTAACTCAATGCAAGACCTCAACGACAAAATTAAGTGGTACATTAACGAGACCGAATACTTCAGAAATGAAATCAAGGCCAAAGATAATTGGTACGCCTTTAGGACATGTTAAATGATTCTCTAACGCCAGTCTACGCGACATTTTCAGGTGTGGCCAATTAAGTCAGTACAAAGACAAAGTATACTACTTTCTGCCGAATTCGTTCTTGGTTCGTAAAGAGCCGTATGTCGACCGCAACAAGTGGATCCTGGCTATGTGGTAATAAGTATTTGCCAAATATTTTCCAAAGCCCAGCGACATGATAAATCTTTCGTTAGGAAGGAGAACGAAAATCTGACCCTCGTGTCACGAGAGTTCAAGATCCGATCGCCAGATGCGCACCAGGTGTATTTGGCGGCGAGTTTCTTCAACTGGGAGTGCCTGGTATTGATGCATCGTCACGAAGACGGCATGTGGCGAATTCAGGTCGATGTTCCGTGCGGTCATCACGAGTTCAGATTCATCGAGATCGACAGCAAGCGGTGGTCGACCAGCGACGAGTACGATTCATGTTGGAACGACTTTGGCAGCTGCAACAACTGGATTCTGGTGTAAAGTTTATCGTCAGTTCCATCAAATCCCAACCAATACAGGACACAGCAAAGGGTGCGCTGTTTAGCTGCTGTCCGCCATGCGGTTCGTTTTGTCGTTGCCTCACAGGTGTAGCGCTGAGAGTCGACAAACCTCAGCAAGGGTTTTCCTGTTTTGTCTTCACGCAAAATTTTTTAATTGCTACTATGAAATGTTGCGTTGATAAATTATGGTTATATGTACTACATTAGTTAGTCAATGTTTTCTTTTTAGGTACGTTGCTAAAATTTCAAATTAAAATTTCAAAAATAAAACTGAAACCATGACTTCTTTCGTTTTGATTTGC